GAGCTTTGAGGCCATTGTCTCATAGCCATTGGTAGATAACACTGAAGCCAGGGAGGGCAAGGTGGCCTGCCCAGGGAGGCATTGCAATGAAATCCATTGCATTTGATAGTAAGCATACTTATCATATCAAAGTTGGCTCTTGATACACGGGACTTTTCAATGTTCCCAGTGTCAGGTCATAAAAATCCCTAATTTTTATGGCATAGAGTACAAAATGTAGGTCTCCCACAAATGAGTACCAAACCACTGAAAATGAACTTGTCATTTTTTTCTGTGTGTATTTAAATAATTCAATAAACATTTAACAAATGCCTGCAGCGTGTGAGATGTTCTGATGGAGGCCTTGGAGACCACAAAAGTTCCTAAGACCTTATTTCTTCACCAAGGGCAGGGAATCCAGTGAAGTTAGTATATTATTAACGCTCACTTGAAAGTAAGGTAGCATTAGAGAAATCTTGGGCGGGAGCAGGTAGAAGAAGGGTTTCTGCTAAAGAAAATAATAACAGAAGCAGAGGCATGGAGGTGTGCCCCAATAATCAAACTCACGCAATAAGCAAATGCAATAAAGACTGACTTCATTCATGGTGGATAAAGATGGAGCACAGTGAGGTAGGAGGGATGATGATGCTGGCTAGCTCAGCTTCCTTCATCTTCCTCAACCTCATGCCAATAATGGCCAATGGACTCGTGAATGAAAGAGGCTGAGTTAGAGTTATAAATACCAAAGGCTTTCAGATAACTAGTAACTCTAGTCAGTTTTTCCCCTTGTGTATCAAAACCACAGTAGTTGATAATAATAACAAGAGTGTCTCTTTTTCTAACTCATCAGTCTACAGGTCAGCTGTCGTGACCTAACACTGACTGGATTTTCCTGGGTGGGCTCCAAACCTAATTCCAAGCTTTGGGTTAAATTTAACTTTGTAAGTCTTTGTTTGTCTCCTAGTACTAGCAATTATACAAGTACTCAGCAGATATTAGTCTTGCAGGATAATGTAAGAATAAATGTGTGTACATATAGCATAGGGAGAGCAGAAAAGCATGAGTGGTACAGGAGAAGCAGAGAGACTGCTAACCAACCATACGATGGACCATCATCAACAGAACTGGGAGCCACAGTGAGACTCAATGTGGTTTCCCTGGCGTAGGGCACAGAAGTGTAATTCCAATAGAGGAAGAGAGCAAAGAACTTGAAACTATTTCTGGATCCTTGGATTCCCTTGTCAGAAATGTCTAAAAACAGAGTTGTGAACTGAAAGGTAGAGAAGAAAAGATGTTAGCAGAAGTAAGCCCTGTCTACAACCAGATGAAAGAGGGAAGAAGCACAGGGGAGGGGGGGAGGGAAAAGGGCAAGAGAGTTTGAATTTGAAGTGAAAAGGTAACAACCAGTCAAGGGGAAAGATGAAAGTAAGATCAGTCTGTGTGTAGGTGCCATTTAAAGCAGCAAGGCAAGAAGAGAACCAAGAGTCATTGGGTAGCTATTAATCCAAATCAGCATGCTAGGCAATCTACACACTTTATCACAAACTATCACAATACTTGGGGTCGGTATTTTAAAAAAGAGGGATGTGAGACTCAAATAGTTACATAATTTGCCAAAGATAGTCCAACAAATCAGTAGCATTTCTGGGACTATCAAATTCTGAAGTCCTCTTTGGAAGAAGGAGACTGAGTTGAAAGCCATCTTGGAAATCAAATCAGTAGGTAGCGTCATCCTCCTGAGTTCTGATGACTGTTTCCTAAGCTTCTACTTGGGCAAAGGAGTGATGTCACCTCACTAGCTGAGAAGTGTGGGTAGGAGCTTTGTTCTGAGCTGAAGGATATAAATTGGTTGTTTCACTTACGTGGATGATAGCGATAAGATATGAGATGGTCTAAAAAATTTATTTTAAATATGTGTTTTATAATTCATGAAGATTTCAGACCTTGAAAAATAACTCTAGAAATAAGACAAGAGCCTTGCAGGCATGGGAAATTATATAAGCAAAGTATTAACAGTGCCTTGTACAATTCATGGTGTGGGAGTGGTTAGCAACTCCATACTGTTGACATGTGCATGTGTTCAGTCACATCACTGGTGTATATAGCAGGAGAGTGAGAGACCAGGTTAATTTCAGTTGGCTTTGAATGCTGGGATAGGACATTTAGACTTTTCTCTAAAAGGAATCACTATAGATTCTGGTCCAAGGGTAGACTTAAGAGCATGGCTAAGGTAGTACTGAGTATAAGCTGAACCAAAGGTGGGAGGCCAAGAGGAAGGATTTTGCATTCGTTTGAATAAGTGGTAATGAGAACCCGAGCCGGGTAGTGGCACTAGAAGCAAGATTAAAGGAACAGATGGGACAACTTCTTTGGAAGAAGCTGCTGTGCCGCTCAGTAACCACTCTGCATATCATTAACTGTGTGACAAGTTCATTTTGCAACCTTACTTGGCTCTGAAGGTTTCCTCTTGTCAGGTATGCAGAACCTCCAGAATTTGCTGGTCATCTGTTCACAAATTTTTTAAAATTTAGAATTACAGTTACCATGGGGGAGGGATTCTAACTGATTTGTCCTTTGCTGTTTCCAGAGTCTCCACCAGAAATAAGTGCTGAGTATTTATTGAATAAGCGAACATATGGATGCTGCCCTACCCAGGCACATATACCCATTTCCAGAGTATCTGCACCTTTGCATTCTGCTCACCCATCTGTCACCTCATCAAAATTCCTGTCACTCTTGCCTCTTTGGGGTGGGCCTTGCTTTATAGAAGGAACCAGATCACTGAGCAGTCTATATTCAGTGAGATTTTAGTGTAGTGTGTTTCCCAGTCCCTGCCTTCAGTGAAGTTCAGTTGACTCTCTTTGCTAGTTCTTAGTGTGATTTAGATCTGTCCAACAATGTTCTCATGGTGTAAAACGTAAAAATTCAGTTCTAACCCATTTCAACCCCAGTTTTATTTTTATCCCTTACACACACACACACACCCTAAGTTTTCTTCCAAGAGACTGACCCCCTCCCCTCTTTTCTGAATCTCAGTTGTTCAGTATTGGGACAAAACAAAAGATATTAGAGAAGATCCTTGGTCCATTGGGTTTGCTTTACAATTGTCTGGAGGATACTCCTGATTCTTCAGCTACCAGTGACCACTGAGTAACCTAAGTGTGGCAGGCAGTCAATGATTGACCTTTTCCAGGAATTGGAATTGTGTGTGAGTGCTTGGGGGTAACCTGTGAAAAACCTATTACACAGTTCTCTGGGAAGGAACAAAGGACTCTTAAGCCTATCCGTAGTAGCCACTGCTGGCTTGATCAGCTTCCTGGGTGGACTGCTAACAGGATGTCTGCCAGGTTGTTAATTTCAACTCCAATGTTCCTCTGTCTTCCTTTTTGCCCTTTTTCCACTTGTTCCATAAGAGACGCCTCCTGTGTCTGGGGTAAGCGTTTATGTTGGCTCACCCACTTGTTAACAAGCCAGGGAGAATGCACCTCACCCCTGTAGTTTGTAATCTACCAAACAGGAAAGTGTCAATATATCTTCTGAGCCTCCACTTTGGGTCCCGGTCTCCAGTTTTATACACAACACTCAGTTATTTGTACATGCCACTGAACTTCATTTTGCAAACTCTGACTCACCATTTATTGTCACCGTATGATAAATACTAAGTGAGTGCCACATGAACAGGCATTTGGTGAATAGCTAAAAGGGGGTCAATCAATAGAAAAAAAATTACACCCATCTAACACAGCTGAGAGGCTGGTGCCAGTCAGGAGTTGCACCGTAACTTTGAAATGGTGGGTATTGAAACATGGACCTGTAGTTAGATTGAGGAGTGGAACAGCAGGAAGGAGGGAGGAGGGGAAGGTCACTTAAAATGAAAAGGTAAGGAAGTTCCCAACCGAGGACTCTGCATAGTGACAGAAAGCTCATGATGCTGGGATTAAAATCTGAATCCTGGGTGCCTATACCAGTCTTTGCCTCTGCCCACAAACCAGACTCTCATAGATTTCCATTAATATTTAATCTCCTTAAATCTGATGGAAGAGGAAATCCCATTCTGCACCATGCCCACTTAGTTGCTCCCAGCAGGCTCTTTGCTGAATGCTGATGAGCGGGCAGCTCTCCTGAGGAACTCCAGCACCAAACCCTGCAACTAGCATCAGGGCCACCGGAGTTTCAGAAGTGAGTCGCGTCCAATACAAGAACCCTGAATTCAGCTCAGATTTCAAATAAAGACTAAAGGACTTAGAAGAATCCCTATAAATTTTTTCAACCCAGAAGTTCTTCCTGCTGAAATTATTTTCACATTCCAATTTAAACTCAGAAACATTATGTTGCTGTCACACTTCTCTTTGTTCCTCTGAAGTATTTAAAAAAAAAAATCTGTATATAGCTGACAAAAAATAGAAGCCTGTCTGCCAGCAAGTTCCCTATTCATGTCTAACATACTGTAGAGCTGAGGCAGAACACATGGTCTTGAAACACTCAAGGCCTCTTTTTAACTGGCTTGCCACAGCACTGTGTCTCTCCAACGTGTGTGCGCTACCTACAATACATGTCTTGCATAAGCGTGAATGCCATTGGAATGTTTGAGTCATGCAGTATTTTCACACACTTTGATGTTGTGCATATGAGAATTACCATCTCTATTTTGAAACGGCGGTCCCTCTCGCCTTCCCCCATCGAACCCTGGCAGCTCAACTGACATCCCTTGCAATCCCATTCCAGCAGAATACCAAGAAAGTCTCTAACAGAAGTTTGACATGTTTCATCATCTCAAACACAGAGTTCATTTAGCAGCTAAATTGGAAATTTCTGGGTGTATTTTTGAAAACTAATTCAGCGTGAAAATTACTAATGATTTAAAACGGTTCATAAAGCGTTTTTTCTTTTTCCTTACTTCTCTATCCAGAAATATCTGATGCCCTATAACAGATTAATTTGCAAGTGGCAAGATGCTTCCTGTTGTTGGAACAGAAGGGAGCTGGTTTAAATCATTTCTAACGTATTGTTCTTAATTACAGATGAGACCCATTGGTCATGATGGCTACCATCCCACCTCTGTGGCTGAGTGGCTAGATTCCATTGAGCTGGGTGACTACACCAAAGCCTTCCTCATTAATGGCTACACGTCAATGGACCTGCTGAAGAAACTCTGGGAGGGTGAACTTATCAATGTAAGTCACTCTCTTTCTGACACCTTCACTGTTCGGCTTTTGATGTGAAGGGAATTGGACTGCAGATGGAGAATTTGGAGAATTCTTTTTCTTTCTTTGTGACTGTTTGGACATCTAATAAGGATTTACAAATAAGCGTGTGTGTGTGTGTGTGTGTGTGTGTGTGTGTGTGTGTGTGTGTGTGTATGTGTGTATTAACTCTGAGGTCATTGTCTTTTGACGTTTTGAGATGGTGGACTGAGATATAAAGAGAGGACCCTTGAGGTTTTTTGCATTATCTAACCAAACCTTCCAAGAAGTTCTGGGTTTTCCATTTTAGGAAATCTTGTCAGTTTAGGATATGGATGTGATGGCGAAATAAGCTCCCAGCCTGATCTTTGCCCCTGTTCACTAGTAAAAGCGAGAATTATCGCTTTTTTGTTTCTTAATAACATTCTTTTTAGCACTCTGTCAGGTTTCCTTATCTTCGTCCCTTAATTAGAATTCAAACCCCATGCTTGAGGGGATGGCTTCTGCTCTTGCTAAACAGGTTGCTGTAATCATCAAAATGTTATCTCCTGGAGTTGGCGTCCAATCGTATGTTGTCTCTGTTTTATTCATACACTTGGCATAAATTTTCTATAAACGCTGGCCAACATATGTTGCCATATATTCAAGTCCATAGAGATCAACTCAGTCTTTCTGATTCTGGTTCTTCTTACTCTCATTTTTTTTCTAAATACTAATTAGTGAAGGAATGAAATAAAAAGGCAACATAAAATGATTGTGTGCATTTGTGCTATGTCTGGGCATTGTAAATGCTTCTTTAAAAAAATACAGTGATAAATCACTCTTTTAGAGGGTTGTTTAGCTTTGTAGTCTAATGATTGGGGGAGGGGAGGCATTTGCGAAGTGAAATAAAGCCAACAATTATTATTGCTTCTTCTTAGCTCTCTCTCTTCTACATTTTATGTTACTCTCTGTCCCAGAGTCCAGTTTCTACGTATTACATGCCATTAATTATTTTAATGAGCATTATTACTCTTAGCTAATTATCTTTTGCTGTTTTAATGTATCTTTAAAAATAATATCTCTCCTAGAACATTTTACACAAGTTGTTCTTGAGTCTAAAAATCATATGAAGCTTTCACTTGCCATTAGTAACTCCTAACTTTTTGCTTTTTATCCCCTCCCAAAAAGCTATCATTACCAGAAGAAAGCCACTACCTGAAGCTCTAGTTAGCATTGTTCTTAGTCTGTGTAGTAAGGAACAAATCGAAGCCGCCTCGGGTTTTGGTTGCGATGGGCAAAGACTTCAATTCTCTGTGAGACTTGATGGTCGTCTCGTAGCTCTTTTTAGGCACTTGTGAACAAGGCCAATTTCCAAAGATTAGCCAAATCAGTTTCCAAGTTGAAATGTATCCTGCATAAGAGTATAACTTGAAAACTAGTCCTATACAATACCCCCAGAATACAGTTGTTCTCTACTGAAGAGTTGATGTGAAGTAGCATGTGAGTCATTTACCTCATTGGCATCAGTGGTACTTCCCAGTGAGCAGGATGGCTTCTGGGAAGACTCTGTTGTAACCCTCGTGTTGGGTGACAGGGAGGTCACTAACGCTGGAAGGCCCCCAGGTTTGCTGCTGGGACTAAAGACTAATCATAACCACCTTTGAATTCAAATATATATATATGCCTTTGTGCCTATGCTGCCTCTTTAGTTTCCTTTTTAGCTGCACTTGCTAAATTACAGTTTGACTTAGATCCAGGGAGAAGTTCAAGTTGTAAGTATTGCCTCAAAGTTTGAAAGCGTACTCGCTGTGTTCAAAGTCCTCTGGCCTGAGTGTCTACCGTCAATGCAGTATATTTTCCTTACAGTAAACTCATTGGATTTAAATTTTTTGTAGCATCTGTATGGGAAGTTCACACTCTACAAGGGAAGACTTTGCAAGTCATTTAACTCAACAGACGTGCTTACTGTGGGGGGGGGGGGAGCAAACTGAGTCTTTAGATGTAGAATTAGAAAAGAAAAAAAGCTCCTAGAGCTGGGCATTTCATTGAGGAGCTTGGGGTTGTTAAGGGTTTTTTACTGTGAGGAGGGAAAGGTGTGCCTTGTGGCTTGCCGAACTTTTGAGTACTCTCCAATTCAAAACTCTTCTATCAAAAAAGAGAAGACAAAGTAAGACCTTTGTTTATCTGAACTAATGAAGAGAGGTATGAGGTGGTCCCTTATGTAGTGCATGGCTCAACTAATACAGTATTGAGTACCCATAAACTGTCATTTCCTGGCTGATACAGGGAACTACCATAATCGTAAATTAAAGTGAAGGCCTTTAGAGAACTATCAGGGATCCATGTAGAGTGACTGATTCTTATCCGTGATCACTATAGAGACTGCTTCCCATCATAAATCACTATAACTAGTTGATGGTTTCCATCCGGGATCACTGTGGAGTGACTGGTGGCCATCCTGGATCACTATAGAGACTGCTTCCCATCATAGATCACTATAACTAGTTGATGGCTTCCATCCGGGATCACTGAAGTGAGTAGCTGATTTAAAGGGGGCCACACAGTTCCGGTGGCTTTTTCTCCTTGTCAAGTGAAGACAGAAAGGCAAACTCCAACTGTCAGAGGTGCAGAGGTCAACTGGTAGAGGCAAGAGAACAGAGAACAAGTCGACTGGCTGTAGGTATGACAATAACACAAGCATCATTATGTGGTAGTGATGAAACACCCAATGTAAATGTGCTGTTATTTGTCTCGTAAGTACAATAAGCTTGTGCAACCCATTTCTAGGAAAGTATGAAACTGTCCAGATTTTTTGACTTGAATAATACAAATGTGTATTTGAAGCTATAATCTTTGGAAAGCCCCTGAAGACCTTTTCTCTGTAGTGTATATTGATGTCTTTGAATAAACAAATAAGGGGTTTGGACCCAGAGCTACCCAAAATGTTGGGGGGAAACAAAAGAATAGAAATCTCACCATTAACACAGAGAAATAGTTAAGGCAGGAAGCACAGTTGGTTTTGTAGCCCGGTCCTGTCTCAAATTCCAGCGTGAAACCTGGGCCAACAATTGACCCTTTTAGCTCTTGAGTCTGGGCTTCACATTCAGTGCTGACTGATGTGCTCCGGTCTTGGCCGCTATGGGTAATAACATCACATTCCTACCTTTCTATTGACATTTTAGTGTTAAAATGGGAACATGCCAGGAGAGACTGCGGGCAAATTGTTCCCTCTGCAGATGTTATCCTCATGAACCATTGCTTTGAGTTACTGTCCCTCCAAAGGCTTGTTAAGGGAATTAATGACTAGTTAGCAGTTCAAAGGTCCATTATTTATTTTCCTCTCAGAGCTTTCTCAGGCTCAGCATATGGTACTAGCCAGTTTGACGAACGTTTCTAACTGTTACCAACAACCTCAACAGCTCTGCATGGGAGAAATTTTAGATAGAAGGGAATATATTTACTCCCTGAAATGTGTATAGATTAATTATGAAATTAAAAATAATAAGCTAAGGGCCATGTAAATAACTTGATATTTGCTTTGTAGACAATAAAAAGATATTAAAAATGTAAAGAACAATGTTAATTTCTTTTATCTCTGTGTGTCTACTGAAGGGACTTGGGTACACCCAAATAACTCTGAACACCGTTCAATTCATTAACTCGTGAACCTCATTGTGGAACCCGCAATTAATTTCTTCCCATTGACTTTACCATTATTTACCAAGGAAATCATTCTAGCCCAGGCTCCGTGTACCCTGCAATACTAATAATGGCAAAGGTTCTTATTGAAAAAATTGAGATTTCAATGCATTCTTAAATCTCTGCTCATAATACAGGATTGTTTCTAAAAATCTAATAGCGTGTTTGGTTTTAATACCTCTGGGTAGGAGTTAATAACATAGCTAAGGCAGCAACACCCATATGCATCCTGTGAAAGCTGTTTCTCATCTCCAATGGATAGCATTTGGAATTACTTTTGCAGCAGTAAATTGATTAGTTCGTCATTTGCTTCTTGCCTAACTACTTCTGAAACTGTGCTTACATTCAAGTAGGGCTGTCAGGACGGTTTGCCAGGTTTCCTCAACGTCAATGATTTACTTTCTGCCTTTCTGGGGAAATTCCACAATAATCTAACCCCGTAACGGTGTAGTAGGAAAGTTTTCTAAAGGAAACTTGCTAATTTTGCCCCCATTCTTTGAGATTATGACTTGATCACTTTAAATGCTGTAGGTATAAAGCCCCTTGTTTGAAATTATTAAGAATGTAAAGACAGGGACTGCTGAACAGGAAACCAAGCAGAGGATGTTTCAGAGAACTGCTGCTTGTATAATAAAACTGTATGAGTCCCATACCCAGGGAGCCAGCCCTACTCTCCATCCCATTGTGTGGATCCTCATTTCTATCTGGCATCAATTTCCTTCTATCTAAAAGACTTCCCGTAACATGTTAAAGAGTCGGAGGCTGTTAGTGGTAAGTTCTACCAACTCATGTGCCTCTGGAACAAGCTTTATTTTGCCTTCCTTTCTGAAAGATACTTTCCTAAGGTAACAGCATTGAAGATGCCGATGCATTGGACTCTTTCTGCATTATTTCTATTTGGTTATGATTTATGTACTGAGGTAGTTTTATTCACATCTCTTGTGTATTAAATTTCTGGAGCTTCTTAAATGTGAGGCTTATGGTTTTAACGACCATCAAAAATTTTTTTGGTCATTGTTTCTTGAAATAGTTTTCAGGTTTTTTTCCCTAACCCTTTGACTCATTTAAATAGTTTCTATTGCTGTGTCTTTGAGTTCACTTATCTTTTTTTTTTCTTATAATTAACTGCTCTTATTATCCATTATATTCTCATTGCTAAGACTCTAGGGTTCAGACTAAAGTCCTTCCTATTTCTTTATCTCTGTTTAACATAATCAATCTTTCCTCTGAACTTGTTGAACATGTGGGATACAATTATAATAACTCCTTTAATGTCCTTATGATTCTAACATCCTCCCCAGCTGGGGGTT